CTCTCTCTCTCTCTTTCATTCTCTTGCCTTCTTCCTAGCCCACCCCATTCGGTCCTCCCAGTTAGAGAGAGAAAGAGACAGAAATGCTGCCTTGGTGCCAGAATACTATTAAAAGGATTAATTTAGGGACCAGTGTTTGGACTGTCACATCCAATCACTACCCAGAGATCTACAGCTTCCCAAATCAAGCTCATGCAAAGAGGAATCAATTGCAAGGACACAGAGGGTCTGAACAGGCATACTAATGGCCTCCTGAGGTGCCAGCGGCCAGCTCTGACACTCCCATAAATTATCTGCCTTTTGATTTTACCTGTAGCTGTGGGGCACAAGGCACAATTTTGAGCATATCAAAGCAATCTCTCCTAACCCAAGGCTCCCCCAAGAACGTCCCCAAAGGAGGACGGCCTAAAAACAATGACCCAAAGGGAATCTGCTTCCCAACAGGCCTGTTCCTAGCAGCCATCAATTAAAACCCAACAGGACCAAGTGGATAAAGTGGGACCCAAATCAAGCCTAGCAGATCTGGACAAGGCATGCATCAGACTGCAGTTCTGCAGTGACTACACATCTCTCACTCAAAGGAAGAGAAATCACAGCAATAAACTAACACAATTTCATCTGCAGGCAAATCTGCACTAGCTCTGACAGTACCTTATAGCATGACCTCAGGCAACACATTTAACCTTCCTGGGCCTCAGTTTCCTCAATGGGTAGAAGGGACAACAATGCTGACCACCTGACCCACTTCTCAGAGTGGCAGTGAAAAGTAATAAAAAGACATCTGAGAGGCACTTTACAAAGATGTAGGGCCACAAGGGTGGCAACACTAATAAATGACCCCGACAGACTAGGAGAAACGACTGGTCACACTTCAGTAAATTTCTTTCAGGTCGCTGCTAACTCAATTCACTTTACTAATGGTGCTGGGGCTAAGGTCCACCTTGCTGTCCGAAATCTGTCCATTAGGAAGAGCAGTGCCTTGCTCTAGTTGTAACTTCCTCCTGTCTGCTGGCTGACTCCACCAGGGTCTATGTTTCTATCACCTGGCCACAATTACAGTTGTGAGGACTCAAAACCTACTAAGCCAAATGCCAACTCAACAAACTTCTGGCTGCTTTTTAAAAAATTATTGTGTAAAGTACTATTAGTAACATAAGTTATAGATACTGTGCCAAGAGCTTTACATCCATTATCTCATTAAATCCTTTAACCAACCCTATCACATTCCATTATCTTCATTTTATAAATAGAAAAGCTAAATTCAGAGAGGTAAGTCACTTGCCCAAAGTCACATAACACTGTCATCAGAAACCCACAGGCTTTCCTTGGGTAACGCAAGTACACTGGGGCTTGTAGGAGAAGGAAGACAATTCATGGGACACTCAACTTTATTTGGTCCCTGTGTTTGGCATACACAGTACCATCATTCCTGAACTAGGAGGCATTCCCCAAACCATAAAAAAAGGTCATCAGTTTGCCACAAGCAAGGAAAGGAAAGACTGAGCAGGACATACACAGAATGAGGACAATTCCTGGAAAGCTTAGGAAAATGGGTCCTCCTCTGTGTATGTAGTTCAAGAAGTTCAAAGCAATTGCCATTAAACTATGAGCCCTAAGACCAAGATCCCTACCAGAGCTCTATTTATTCCCTACTTCTTTAAATAGAAAAGAGTTCCCAAAGCATTTCCATTCATTCCACACCAACTTTCCCTTCTTGCATCTTTTCTAGTCTGTGAAATAAGAGCTGGTATTGCCAACAAATGCTTTGATAGACACATCTCTTAAGCTCCAGTAGATGGCCTGGAAATCAGTACAGAGAACCAGTATACATATATATGCAAAGATTCAGTTATACTCAATTTTTAAGTGTCAAGATACTGCCTCAAAAGGGAAAATAAAAAATGCTACCCATGTAACTGCCAACCAGACTCTTTACTGGTCTCTCTACCTCTGGTATTATCCCCTTCGATCCATTTTGAACACTGAAATCAGAGCAAACTTGATCCAAAACACAAATTATCACTCTACTGCTTAAAACCTTTTAATGGCTTCTTACTGCTCTTATGATAATCTGATCCAGGGGTTGGCAAACTATGGTCCATGGGCCAAATCCAGCTGCCACCTGTTTTTATAAAGCTTATTGGAACACAGCCGTGCTCATTCATTTCTGTACTATGGCTGCTTTCATGCTGTTAATAGCAGAGTTGAGTAGAGTTGAATAGTTGTGACAGAACCACCAAGCCTAAATATTTACTGGTCCTTTACAGAAAACGCTTGCTGACGTAGTCTAATTTTTTCCCCACCCACCATCTAATCCTAAGAATTTATAAGGCCCTGGCGTCTGCTTACCTTTCCTGCTTCATTTCTCACCATATTTTCCTGCCCCCTGCCCACAGAGTACTCTGTTTCAATCACACTGTACTTCAGTTTCTCAAATTCAACAAAGCTCTGACCTTCACACTTGGTCCTTCATGTTTTCATCTAATTCTAGATGAGGAGGTTACTTCCTCTGAGAAGCCTCCCCTGAGCCCGCCAGTCTGGGTGAGGGACCTTTCTGAGTACTCCCCCAAAGCACCTATACTTACCTTATTACAGCACTCTCAGAGTGTGTTGTAATTGCTTCTTTACTACCTGTCTTCCCAAGAATTTGTAAGCTCTTTGGTGTCGGGGACAGTACCTATCTTACTCACCACCACGATCCCAGGACCTAGTAAAGTGCCTAGTACTTAGTTATTGAACAAAGAGCATCTGAGATCCTGGATATCAATCATCAGAGTCCACCTTTTTAGCCAGCCCCGAACCTTATGAAATGGAGATAGGCTGGGATTAACCATCCACCCAAAGGTGACCCACAACCCAAATTAAACCATGATCCCAAAAGCCTTGGTCAAATGTATTATCAAAAGCCAAATGAATGTGTTTCTTCCTGTTATCTAAAGATGTGTATTTCTCAGGATAAAGAACTATTCCAGCTCTATTCAACCTTCCTGAGACTAAAGTAGGTGTTCATGCAATGCCCACAAAGAAACCGTGAGCAGAACATGAAAGCCTGGATACCCTACCTCCAACTCTCACTCTTTATAGACTTTGGGTAAGTTTCAGGAGTCTTTAAGCATATGGCATCTTATCAGAAAAAGCTACAGAAAAATACAATCTGCACCAGCCCCCACCCCTCACCCTCCAAGCCCAAATACTCATAAGGAAGAAGTCAAGCCCAATTTAGCCATGCAACAGGATTCTCACCTCTCCTTACTTCAAAGACACCAAGGCTGGTAGCTGGGGATGCTGAAGGTTCTGTGAGAGCTGGAAAGCCCCAATGCTGTGGATAAATACACATCTCTGCAACAAGTCTATTTCAGTACAAAGGATCAAATCCCCAGGGGGCTGCTATCTGAAACAATTTAAGGACCACACTATACTTCAAACTCCCCAACTCAAACTATTTTGGGATAACAGTTATCTATGTGGAAGGACAGTGCCCATACAGAGATTTCAGAAGCTACTAGTACTGTATATTTTTGGAATGATGAATTTCGTGTTCTCTAGTAGCATACTTTTTTCCCTTAGGAGACTTACCTCCTAGAAACACTAAACATTTACAATATCTGAGCTTGAACTGAGAAAGATGGCCACAAAGTGTTGGCTTTCTGGATAATCCAACAATCCTAGTCTAGTCAAAGAGCGGACACTAATAAGGCTCACAATATTCAGAACTCAGGAACTGAGGCCAGGATTGGAGGAGGGGTTGGTTGCCACAAACCTACAAGCCATATTGCAAATGGCCACACAGATCAGGTAACACTTGCAGGATACTTCCAAGTCTGTCTCAAGTTCTAAGAAAGTCAAGGTAACCAGGTCCCAAGTCAAATCATCAATGAACACCTATTATATTTATCACCTAATTCAGATCCTCCAAAAGACTAGAAGATGCAAAGGTGCCCTTGTAAGCTAGCAATGCCCTTTACCCAAAGAAACACCTAGGTTTGGAACCAATCTATTCCTGTCTACCACTCTACATATTCAAAACTTTATTCTACTCAGATCCCATGGGAGAATGCCACTCATCACCTTACCCCACCACAAAGAAAACACTTTTCAAAATGAAAGGGGAATAAAAGCACTTTTATTCGGAAACTTCAAGTTGGAAGGAGAGCTCTCAGCCAAGCTCTGTGACCTAGCTAGCTGATTATTTACAGGATCTTTGGGCAGGAATTGTTAATGAGCTTTTAATTTGGAGTGCTTAAGTTGCCAAAGTGCTCTGAGCTCCAGTGAAGCACCACAGAATCCATAAAAGAAACCTTATCAATCACTTCTCGGCAGTTCCCTTCCCCCACCTCGCGTCTCTTTTGATGAAAGGCAGCCAAGTGGGTTTCTAACCAAGATCACACACACATTAGTGGAGTCACACTCCAAGTCCCTGTTTATAAATTGACTTTTAAATGGTAGGGGATTCAGGTATAATATACTTAAGCTCCAGGCATGAACCCACTAAAACAAGGCATGCTGTGTATGATAAAGTCAGAATAAAGCAGAATTTGATGAAGCCAATTTCTGGTAGAAACTCTACAATCAAAAATCATTCAGCCAATCACAACCTAGTATAGTTCAAATAGTGTAGTCTCTAGCCAATGGGATTCGTGGTTTTTTGCCCTTCAGCCAGGAGACTGATAACATGTCTGACAAGAGCTAATGCCCTGGAAGTGGCCAGAGGTCTGTAGCAGACACAATGATAGGCACTATCAGTTTGCAAAAACCAGCCCTAAGGGCAGTATCCAAACCCCCAATGAGGGGGCACATTCAGCATCTTCCAAGTCAACAAGAAGCAGTTATATTTTACAAGAACTTGCAGTCAAGCCCTAATCTAACTTCATGGAAAGAAAGCACCTGTTGCTATAACATTTGCAGGAAAAGCAAACACAAAACTAGCCCTGTTAAGGCCCCTAATTCACTCCTTCCATCATCACTACTACCACCGCTCCTAAGAGGTAAACTGCTAACCTTGTGTGTATGTGTGGGTGTTGGGGAGAGGGAAAGAGGATGGTCTATCTTACTATCTCCTTGTTGGGTTTCGATATATTCTCTCTGGTCAAACCTCTCTTCCTCTTCCCTGGTAATCCCATGTAATAAATCAGCACCCTTAATCACCTCATCCAGTCTGTCTTGCAAAGCCCTGCCCCTTCCCTCTCTGCCTGAACGTTACTCAGTAGATCATGCATCCAGGGTGAGCACATGGGCTAGCACCCCAGGCTGCACACACTGTGCGCGCCGGGACCCTCACCCCGCATGCATCAACCAGGGCCCAAATTGGGGGCCTTCTCCGCATCACCCACCCCTGGGTGTTGCCCCCAACTCGGGCCCATCCAAGTCCAGGGGAGAGTAAGGGGAGGGGCAGGGGGCCAGGAGACCAGTCCTCCTTCCCAGGGCCGCCCCCGCCCCCCATCAGCAGCGGGAGAGGCTGTCGCCATGGCAACGCCCCCTCCTTGGGGCCAGCGCGGCAGGCTCCCTCCAGGTGCAGGCCCCGACGTCTCCCTCGGCCTCAGCAGGCGCTCAGGGCAGTTTACGGCGGCGGGCGCGGCCCGCGCCGACTGCGGGGCTGGCCAGGCAGAGGCAGGGCCAGCTCCGCCCGCTCCCCACCGCCCGTTCCCGGCCGCCTCAACAGCGGCAGCCAGCACCACGAGTCCACAACACACCGACTCACCTCCGCGCACTCTGACCCCGGCCGACGCAGCAGACGAGCGGAAGCGGTGGCCAACCACCGAGCCCGCCACAAGCTCCTTCAACCAATGGGCTTCAGGAGGGCGGGGCTTCTTCTCTCCAAATGCTCGCTCTCCCGCCGACATGCGCGCTACAGCGTGTCAAGATGGTGACTCCCCGCGGCAGGCCTTATGGGACTTGTAGTTTTCAGGTTGCACGTACTCGGAAGAGAGTGACGGGGGTAGGGGGGTGAGAAATTTTTTTTAAAAAACGAAAACTTTCCAAGACCTAGCGTGACCCAGGTCCACTTCTGTTTTTCCACTTTATAATATACTCATGAGGTGAGTATAGAGTCATAAGGTGACGTTATATTTAGATGACACCTCATGATTCGTTCATTCAACAAGTCATTACTATCCACTCTCTGTGGTGGGCCTGGGGGAGAATTGAGAGGATGGGTATTTTAGGCTAAGAAGGAAACGCTTACATTGTTTCTAAGGTTTTCTAAAATTTCTCAAGGGCCTTCCTAAGGAAAAGTGAAATAACTTGTTCAGATCGGCTCCAAAGGTAACTTCAGGGTTAAAAGGATTCTGGCCTCAGCTGTGGGGAGCTTCCACAGCCTCTTTATCAGCTGGAGAAAATTCTGGTCAAAGCCAGAGATGTGTTTCTTCATCTAGGTTATGGCTCTCTGGGAAGTCATGAGCTGGGAAACCCCAGCCTTAAGACAGTGATGGCTTTGACAGCCTCCCAGTCAGTCAGGAACCTCTCCTGGCCCTAGCTTCAGTCAACAAACCCTGTGTCTGCTGTCTACACATCTTCTCTTAAGAAAAATGATGTCATTTCTGGGTCCTTCCACCTCTGTGAGATCTGACCTTAACATAGTGGTTCCCACTTGAGCTGGGAATACCTTTCTTTATCCCACATTGTGGGTTATGTGATTCTGCTCTGCACCTACAGAATGTATCGCATTGTTTTATAATTGTCTATTTCCCTTTTATCTCTCCCCCAGGGCTGTAAACTCCTTTAAGGCAAGCATTATTTCCATATCATTCATGCTGTATCGATAATACCCAGCACAGTGCCAGGCATAAAGCAGGCATGTAATAAATGTTTGCAGACAAATGAGGGAATAAGCATCAGCAGGGACAGATATCACTTAAACCAAGGTCCGTAGAGTCGAGACACACCTGCCTATCCCCTGATTCTTGGATCTAGAATTGGGTCTTCCTCCAACCATTAATGTCATCTAAATATTAATCCTAGTTGATCAATCAGTCAACATATATTTACAGTGCCTCTGCTAAGTATCTGGTACTATTTCCGTTGCTGAGGATTCATTCATTGGTGAATAAGACACACAAAACGTATATCCTTAAGGAGCTTTTATATTGAGGAGGGGAAAAGGGAGAAGAACAGATAATAAACAAGTAAGTGAATCGATAAATAAAAGACAAATAGGAAGCCCTGACATGGCATCTCCCAGCTGTGACTTTATTATACCTTGGGTATGGCCTGAGAAAAAGGCATAGCCAACCTTCTTGGCTATAAGAATGAAGTGAATCTACACTATCTGGATTGGAGACTTCTTTAAGGCCCAGCCGTAGCCTCTGGGGAGCCTCCCGTGGTCCCCATGACTGCTCTCTCCTCCTCGGTTCTCTGGAGCTCAACTGTACAACTCCCAGGACCTCATCAGAATAAGCTTTTTTTTTTAGACAAAGACCAGGCAACATACATTCAAATAATAGAACTGTTTAAGAGCTTAGTATACATTTGGTGCCTTACATTGCTGCTAACCCAGCATTTGGCTCCCTCAAGCCTTTGGCTCTGTTGTGATTTCTTCTGTTCTCTGATTCAAACAGAGCCTGAGGCAAAACTTATGTTGTTAGACTTCATTGGGAAATATAATCCCAGGGCAACAAGAGTAAGGCAGAGAAGGGAAGTGAAGCAGGAAAGGAGTGAACGAAAATACAAGATTGTATAAAGTTGACCAGAGCTTCAAAGAAAACGCATACAGGCTATGCAGAACCATTGCTTCTCAGAGAAAAGGGTTGTGTTACCCCACCACGTGGGTAGCCACAGGAGGGCTCCAGATCTCACACTCTAAAGCACAGTGGTTCATCTGAGACCAGAATCGGTGAGAGGAGTCGTAGCCTCTGGTTTGGTGAAATCAGACCCACTGTAGTCCCACCACAGTGGGCACATTGGAGGCTCTGCCAAAACCTAACCCTCCTCCCAGAGGAGGCTAAGATAATCAGATGTGTTAGTAAATGCGTGATAGTTGTAGCAGCTGGGCTGTCCTAAAACAAGTAGCCCAGGCCCAAGGTGGGGGTAAAGATGAGGCAAGTGAATTTTTGGAGGCAGATGAATTGAATCCAATACACAGACATAGATATGTCCTGGGCAGTCTTCTAACTGCGGGATTAAGTGACTGAGCTAAAGTGAACAAGGCAAACAGGGACGAAAGTTGGTTCTTCTACTGCCCTATCAAGCCACCAGGAAAAACAGGAAGATGGCCATCAAAGCTGGGACCTTAGCCAGCAATCAAAGGGCAGAGAACCCAGGACCCAAGAACAGTAGATGGCAGCCTCCGAACTTGGCACAGCTGAGAGAACCCAGACTGGGTCTGAAACGTTTTTATCTGACAACAGGAAAAACTGCTTTAGCCATTCATAGTCCCTGTAAGCTACATAAGATAGCATAGTGGTGGAGTGTGAGCTCAGTAAGAGCCTATTCAAGTTTGAGCCATGGCTCCATCTGTGACCTTAGGCGAGTCACATGCCTCTTTGAGGCTCAGTTTCTTCATCTCTAGAGTGGAGATAATAAATACTAGTACCTACTTATTATTACAATTGAATACAAACGTTCTTAGCACAGTATCTGGCATCAAGAGTTCAGTAAATATTGGCTATTTCTATTATTCTGGCCCCTCTCCCAACCCTCTCACCAACTCCTCTTCCCACCATGACCACCACCACCCCACCTCCTTACCCCACACCCTACCCCCACAGACTTCCCTGCTTCAGGAGTAGTGAGAGCTGGACCTGGTCATGCCTTCTTCGCCCTGCTTTCCCCAGGGCTGTTCCCCATGAGCCTGAGCCATTCATTTCCCTGGTGACCTGAATCTGAACTAAGAGATGGATGTGGGGTGGCTAAGGCCAGGGTGGTAATGTGCTCCCTTATCTCGGTGCCCCTCACTGGGGCCTAGTTAATTTTCCCTTTGATTTTAATATAGATTTATTGAAAGTTTCAGTTATCAAAACAAACTGCAGCAGCAAATTGGTGTTCTTTGCAGGCCTACAAGTGCCTATAAAGCTGCCACGCTCGGGAACGAATGGCGCTCTCTGGGAGGTCAGTCATGGCAACAGGAAGTCCCTGGGGACACACACACTGCAGTTTAATATTTTTCTTATTAGCCTTTTTCTTCTTGGCTATCTAAGCCTCCCTTTTAAATCGGAAATCAAATGGAGCCACCTGCCCAGGGAGGTTCTCTTCCCTAAGCTGCTCGACTCTCTGCTTTCTCTATCCCCTCGCTCGTCCTAGCCTCCCCACCTCTGATCCTCTGACTTCACCCTCTCTTGCCCAGTGTTCCAGAGACAGTTGAGATTCACGTACCCCAGAGGTGTGGCTCACAGCCCCACCCCAACTGTGGCAGGTTAGCTTGGGCTGTCCGGCTACTAGTCAGAGGAAAGCATCCCTAGAAAAGATTGGGGCCCTATGCCATTTCCAGATCTGGTGCTTAAAGAGGGGAAGAAGCAAAGTTTTTTAAGCAAAAGAGTTGTTTTTTTAAAAGGTAGACAGTGCTGTCAGGATCTATTGAACTCAACAGACGCAAAGAAGAGATGATGATTCTAGGGATTGTCTAGATCAGGGGTCGACAAACTTTTCAGATGGAAGAGCCAATCCTGTCCCTCACAACAATTTAAAAATTATTCGAGAGCCATAAAACAAATGAAACCACCATCATGTGAATAATATCCTTTAAAACTTTTATAAATGAAACTATGATAGTTTTAGTTTCATTTTCAATTTTACTTCAGAGCCACATGTACATACATACCCAAAGAGCCGCATGTGGCTCGTGAGCCACGGTTTGCCGACCCCTAGTCTAGACTGTCTGATTTCATTCTCATATCCCCACTGCCTCTCCCAATATGGCCTCTCCTCTCAATCCCTGCTTGATTTTTGAGATCCACCATTCTCTGGCTCCAGTCTGCTTCTCTAAGAACCAGCCTGGTTTCCTACCTCCAGTGGCTCCCATAACTAGAACCAGCCACTGACACCTCTAGACTCTGGAATCGGTTCTGTCCCAGGGGAGGGTCTCCATGACCTGGTAACCATGAGGGCACCATCATCTCCTCCTCTGGGCTTTAGGTGCTGCTGGGTCACCTGTACATGCTGCATCCCAATTCCCAGTGCCCTCTCCTTGCTCTTAAAAATTCCCTGCCAGCAACAAGGGCTACTGCCCTTCCTCAGAACTCAACTATGACTTGACTAAGGGTCCTGACAACTCTAGCTGTGCAGCTAGAGTGGTGGAAGGTGCTGAGGTTTGGATTTAAACAGTCCAGGATTTGAATCCTGACTCTGACACTTACTGACCCTGCG